CAATACGTTTTCATTTGGGCAGCATCAATATCTCCCCATGCAAAAATAACATGCTAAGCCACGCCCACACCCGCCTCTTTCCTTAAGAGTCATGAGCAGTAAAGAGGACAGGCGGTCTAGGTTCATTGGCTGTTGATTGGAGTAAGGCGGAGTGAAACTCGGTGATTGGCTGATATGATGCTGGAGTGACAAAATGGTGACAGAAAAGCCAGCCCAGGTGGTTAAAGAGTGCGGGAAAAGAGACTGGCAAATGCTCTTTGACGTGCGCGCGTCTTGACTGCGTTCTTCCGTACTCAATTTCCACAGATCCGGAGTTTCCGGACGTATTCGTCTACTAAAGGAAAGAGACTTGTGTCTCACTCATTAGTCATTTTATTGGGACATGGGCGCAGAGCTCTTTTCAGATGTATAAAGTAGTACTCACTGTTGACAGAATATATCTCTCTACAGAGGAGTGAGGAGGGGGTCATGACACAATGAAATCAGACAGCACAGCGGACCAAGAGATCGAGCGCAAATATAATCCTCACCCAGCCAAAAGAGTACAAGAGCCAATTAATTGGGGCAGCCCCATTTCCAGCAGGTAAATCAAGACGGATGTACTTCTGCTGGCAACGGTGGTTTCCAAGATTCCTGCTTGATGGTGAGACAGAAGAATTCATATGGAAATCGAGGATCTCAATAGGGATTGGAATTAGCAAACTCTTTATAGAAAGTAATGGCCCTTCTAGAGATTTCAAGTCCCAGCTGATTTAGGCCCCTGGGGTTTTCAAGGCAAGAGATGTTCAGAGGTGGTTTGCCATTGCCTGCCTCCTTATCAGGACCCTGGTATTCCTTGGTGGTCTCCCATCCAAACTCTGACCAGGGCCCACACTGCTTAGCTTCCAACAATCAAGCAAGATTGGGCTAGCCTGTGCGATCCAGGTCAGGACCTTTATTGTTGCTATCCCATCTTATAGCGATATATGTAGTTTATTCATTTTGCTTTGCTAATTCACCAGTTGGGAGTTTCCCACACTCATTCTGATTGGATCATTTACTCTTGATTGTGCTTCATTTTCATTTGTGACCTTTACAGAAATGAAAAATACCTTCCTCTTTGATTCCTAGACTTTCTGATTCTCTGTAATATCCGTCACACACTTCTGTTTGCACTGGTTGTGTAGTTTATCAATCCACAAACAGCTGGCCAAGTGAAAGCAACACTTTAGAATCTGTGGCCCACTTTAGAATCTGTGGCCCACAAAACTATGTTTTACAATAGAGGTTTTTAAGGTGCCACAGGACTCTATTATTATTCAAAAATGATGGAGAACAAACTGACAGGATAAAGGGGGGGGGAGAAAAGGAAAGTGAGGTAGCCTCTATTAATCCATTAACCTTCAAGGTGACATAAGACTCTTTTTTGTATTCGCTGGAATAGAAAACTTTTAGGTTGAATTTGACTTGCAACCACACTAACTTTTCTGTCTCCAAAGAACGAACTGACAGGATAAAGGGGGGGGGAAGGAAAGTGAGGTAGCGTCTATTAATCCATTAACCTTCAAGGTGACATAAGAGTCTTTTTTGTATTTGCTGGAATAGAAAACACTTATGTTGAATTTGACTTGCAAACACACTAACTTTTCTGTCTCCAAATTTAGCTATAAATATTCTAAGAATATTCTGCACATTGTTTTGATTCAACATCATTCAGTTGATGCAGGTGTAAATTCACTGTATACAGTGAGGGTTGAATGGCAGGGTAGTCAGCAGCACAGACTTCCCCCCCCCCCAGTACAAACTGCCTCTTCCACCTTGAGACCTCTGACCAAACCACTCCCATACCTCCTCTAAATTGGGATTGCTAGAATTTACTTTAAAAAATCTATCTGAATAATATTTTTGATCTTGCATGAGTGATGCCTTATTATATAGGCACATCTCAGCCATAGAATAACCTTTGTGCCATCTCCATTCCTGCCATTAAAGCACTGAGAATGTGTTTTTATTAAATGTGTGTATCCCGGCCTTTCTTCAAGGAGAACAACATTTTAGCCTCAACTTGTGAAGTAACCTGGGCTAAAAGAAATGACAGTAAATTTCTCATTTACCCATAGCCAGGCTTTTAGCTATACAACCATCACATTTTCACAAGAATTTGACATTTTGTACTCCTCATGGTTACCAGATTACCTGAAAACCTGATGGTGAACACATTTGTGAACATCTTCAGCACTAAAAAATCCTCTTCTCTCTGACTTGCCAATTGAACAGTTTACTGAATCGTGGATGCTTAAAGTTTAAAAAATAGTTCAGTATTTACGTATCAAGGTGTTTTTTTTTAATGAAACCTGTTTGGACATTATTTTTGAATGGTAAATAATGACTTCAATTTTATGTAATCCATATACAGTGACAGTTAATTCTACATGAAAAATAACAAGCTTCAGTTGGTACAGAATGTTGCGGCCAGAGTGTTGACTGCTGTAGGCCATAGGGACTTTGGTCGAATCTGCATTTGTCTTTCCCACCAGTGTCCCCGCCTTCTAACTCCATCTTCAAAAAAGCTGTCTACATTTGGTTTTGTTTTCACACCTCAACAGTGCTAGCATACCTTTGCAAATCCACATATGTTTATCACCTTCTTGTGGTGGCTCCACTGTTATTGCACCTCCCCACTGCTTTAAAAGAATCTTCTCCAAACAATGTTCAAACAAGCACAGAGAAAGACGGTGTCACAGCAGCACGAAACTGATTTAAAAATGCAAATACAGATTTGACCTATATCACTCCAGTCCTGTTCCATCTACATTGGCTTCCACTTTGCTTCCAAGCAGAAGAGGAGGAGGAGGAGGATTTATACCTCACCCTTCACTCAGAGTCTCAGAATGGCTTACAATCTCCTTCCCTTCCTCTCCCCACAACAGACACCCTATGAGGTAGGTCGGGCTGAGAGAGCTCTGAGAGAACTGTGACTGAACCAAGGTCACCCAGCTGGCTGCATGTGGAGGAGGAGTGGGGAATCAAACCTGGTTCTCCAGATTAGAGTCCACCACTCTTAACCACTACACCAAACTGGACCTGTAAAGCCCTGCACGGCCTGAGGTCAACATACCTTAAGGGCCATCTTCTTCCATACAAACCTACCTGCTCACTCTGGTTATCCTCATAGGTCCTGTTTCAGTTGCCCCCAGCATCTGAGGTAGATATCTGGAGACTCATCTTGGTCATGGCACCAAAACCTAGGGTATATTAAACCAGAATCTGAAACCGTGATTTAAAGTTGGTTTATGAACCATAGTTTGAGTGCAGTGGCACCTTTAAGACTTTGTTGTATTACTTCAGACCAACACAGCTACCCACCTGAATCTGTATTTATGAACCACAGTTAACCTTTGCTATGATTTC